TCTCTGCAACCGCCGGAGACCAAGGCCGTGCTCCCTGTGCATGGCTGGAGTGAGGGGGTGGGGCTTGTTGCCACAGCAACCCAACGCCGGGGTAGCCGTCGCCGTGCAACCTGAGAGCGTCCTGCTCTGGCGATAAAAGACCAGAGCAGAACCCAAGCAGGCAGATATTTCCCTGTTCATAAATCGAGCTGTGAGATGTCTTGTGCTGCGGCCAGACCCTACAGCCAAGCAGTCTGCCCTCTGCTGTGTGCCTGAACTGCCCCTCTGCTGTGTGCCCGGACTAACCATTACCTGCCAGCATGCCCTCTGTTGTATGCCCAGACTTAACCCATTGCCTGCCTGAACTGCCCCTCTGCTGTGTGCCCTCTGCTGTGTGCCCGGACTAACCATTGCCTGCCAGCATGCCCTCTGTTGTATGCCCAGACTTAACCCATTGCCTGCCTGAACTGCCCCTCTGCTGTGTGCCCAGACTTACCCATTGCCTGCCAGCCTGCCCTCTGTTGTTTGCCCAGACTTAACCCATTGCCTGCCTGAACTGCCCCTCTGCTGTGTGCCCGGACTTATCCATTGCCTGCCAGCCTGCCCTCTGCTGTGTACCCAGACTTAACCCATTGCCTGCCTGAACTGCCCCTCTGCTGTGTGCCTGGACTTACCCATTGCCTGCCAGCATGCCCTCTGCTGTATGCCCTGACTTAACCCATTTGCCTGCCTGACTTGCCCCTGCTGTGCCTGGACTTACCCATTGCCTGCCAGCCTGCCCTCTGCTGTGTGCCTGGACCTAACTCATTGCCTGCCTGAACTGCCCCTCTGCTGTGTGCCCCTGAACTTAACCCTTGCTGTACCTATCAAGTGCCCTCCAAATCACTCAATAAAATCCTTGTGTGCCCACTTTCCGCGTGTGTTCTGTCCCACTTGCACCTCCATCACAGATATCCAGACACATGTTTAAAAAACAGTTAAAGAAGAAATACAAATTTTTTTTACATTTCTAATGCAGTGGGGCTGTGCCCGCACTGCATGGGTTAAATGCTCATTTTTGTCTAGGGGCTCTGAAAGTAAATCTGCCTATCCTTCAAGTGCAAGACCAGTCCATGCCATTCCTGCCCCCTGCACACTAGCGGTCTTGTGAATGGGCTGTTCCTGACATCATCACGCCTATAGACCGGCTCCAGGAGTGAGGATGCCAGGAACAGTCCCCCTCTGGATGTGGGGGAGCATAGTTTTACAGAGGATTGGAGGACAGGGTAAATACAGCTTATCCCTTAGCCCCTAGACAAAATGATCACTTAACCAATGCAGTGCAGGCACAGCCCCACTGAATGGGAAAATACAAATTTTCACTGGAGTTCTGCTTTAATCTAGTAATATCAAATAAACCAAACTAAAGTGCAGCACTCTTAAAACAAAGACAAAACAAAACTAATATCAGTCCAGTGAGTGTAGCTACAATAAAATGCCCATAATACCAGATCAAAGGCTTACCAGAACAGTATAAGCCTCAAAATGAAAATTCATATAACACTTCCAAGTGATTAGCTCAAATCCTGGATATATGATGTTGCCACTTCACTCCACCATATACAGTATATTGGCAGCCAGTCAGGAAAATATGCACGGAAACATCAGAACGCTCCATGTAGTGTAAAACCAATGGTATCAAATATTTATTAAAAACAGTGCTACACACAGTACTGTATATAAAAACATAGACCTAATATCTCATAGTTTCCTCCCAATGATAGAATCACCATTTAGATATTTGTATATGGTAATCATATTTCCTCCTAAATACCTCTCCAGGGAAAATAAGTTTAAAGTGATTGTAAAGCTCTGACTTTTTTATAATATAAAAAACATGCAATACTTACCTGCTCTGTGCAATGTCTCTGCACAGAGCATCCCTGATCCTCTTCTTCTGGGGTCCCCTGCCAGGGCTCCTGGCTTCTCCTACCCCACCAGGTGCCCCTATAGGAAGCCATTTCCTATGGGGGTACTCATGTGTGCTCAATCCTGCACCAGGCTGTTTGCATCTATTTAGACACCACTCTCTGCTCACAGGTTTTGACCAACAGCAGAAGGAGCCAACGGCTCCAACAGCTCTCAACCAAGCCTGTGAGAGTGGGCAGAGGGGAGAAGAGAGCTGCAGCAGACAAGCACAACGCTGCTTTGAGATCGAGCTTAGGAGAGTATTTAGGGGTGACGGGGAGGCTACTATTTAAAACATTTTTTTATGTTAAATCACAGAATGCATTAAGTTAAAAAAAAAAAACCCTTTTACCTTTACAACCACTTTAATTTTTGTAGTCATTTCTCAAAATTGAAGTCTCCCAGCCCCTTATTAGCTCTGTTGCCCTTCTCTGGACTCTGTCCAGTTCTGGAACATCAATCTAGAGGACCGGTGACCAGAACTAAGCAGCATACTGAAGATGAGACCAAAGCAGAGTTTTGTAAAGTGGTAGGATTATAGTCCTATCTCTTGAGCAGATTCCCTTTTTAATGCAAGATAATAATTTCCCCCAATCCTTTTCCAACCCCCAGAGGGTCTCCCCTTACGGATAACTTGCAATAATTTGCAAGTTATCCAGATACACTCTCACTTGCAATAAGTTTTTATCATTAAAGTTTCATAGGATAAATTGTGTAACCGTATAAATGTACAAAAGTAACCAACACATGAAAGAATTCCAGAGTGCATCCAACAATACAGGTGATTAATATAAAGATCAATGAGTATGGCATGGTGCATGTTAGGTTTACAGCAATGACACATATATTATGAATGGCAAGGAGATAATTAGGAAAGGGAAGGCATGGGAGAAAAAAAAAGTGTGTGTGTGTCTGGGGGGGGGCGGCAGGAGGAGGGTAAATCTGGCATTAGCAAACTGGGAGACAATATTGGATTGGTTGTGAGAGCCGGGTCCTGTACAGAGGATAGTCAAAAAACATAGCAACCAAGGCCTCCTAGGTCAGGGGGCCAAGAGAAAGGAAGAGGGAAGGAAAAAAAACAAGATTAAAAGAAAAAAAAGAACAAAGGGAAGATATCAGTATATAATTCACTTTCAGCCCTGAACAGCTTTCTGTTTTATAACTACTCAGCAATACAACTGATCATCAGCCAAGAAAGTAACAAACTATCTTTTATTTTAATGTTGTCTTCAAGGAGAGCCTGAAATGAACTATTTATAGATTCTGAAATCTCATCCTGTGGCCCACTGTCTGTTCATGAACGGCAAAAATGGCCGTTTGGATGTGAAATGTGTACAGGCTTACCCCTTACCCCTTGCTGCAAATGAAATAGAAGAAATACAAATGATGTAGCGCTAAAACACCCAGGTAAAGCGTCAGTGCCTTAGGACATGCAGCATGATGTTAAAATCCTATATGAACATAATACATATATGTGCGTGATGAAACTGACAAAATGGAAAACAGATGTGCAACCCCTACACACAGTGCACATATATGAATATAAAGTCCAGTGATCCTGTATCAATATTTGCACTCAAACAGAGTCCTTGGACTGTATGTGGGCCCGCACACCACCACGTGCAATCCGAAATCAGCTGAAGTGGCCTCTCACCTCCTCCCTGCGACCCTGCAGGGCCACAGAGCTTTATCAGATCCCCACTGAGTCAAGGTATGCTTCCTCTTGAGTGGATGGTTGGTATATCCCCAGTATACAGCTTCCACCTCTCCTGTGGTATCCTCCGAGGTGAGCTGAGCAGGATGCACCCCAGCTCAAGCCCCCATGGGATAAAGGAAGCAAAAGACATCCTCCATAGTGTAAAACCGTTTAATAAATGCCGGAAAATAAATGTATAATACACTCACATTTGCCAAATAACATACAAGCTGTTTCCCATAGCATGGGTGTATGCGTGTGGCTGAGGGTGTACCAAGATGGCGCCGCGCAGGAAGTGCGTCACCACGTATTGCCGTCGACGCGTTGCGTCACGTGACCCCGTGACTTCCTGAGGAAGTCACGGGGTCACGTGACGCAACGCGTCGACGGCAATACGTGGTGACGCACTTCCGGCGCGGCGCCATCTTGGTACACCCTCAGCCACACGCATACACCCATGCTATGGGAAACAGCTTGTATGTTATTTGGCAAATGTGAGTGTATTATACATTTATTTTCCGGCATTTATTTAAACGGTTTTACACTATGGAGGATGTCTTTTGCTTCCTTTATCCCATGGGGGCTTGAGCTGGGGTGCATCCTGCTCAGCTCACCTCGGAGGATACCACAGGAGAGGTGGAAGCTGTATACTGGGGATATACCAACCATCCACTCAAGAGGAAGCATACCTTGACTCAGTGGGGATCTGATAAAGCTCTGTGGCCCTGCAGGGTCGCAGGGAGGAGGTGAGAGGCCACTTCAGCTGATTTCGGATTGCACGTGGTGGTGTGCGGGCCCACATACAGTCAAGGACTCTGTTTGAGTGCAAATATTGATACAGGATCACTGGACTTTATATTCATATATGTGCACTGTGTGTAGGGGTTGCACATCTGTTTTCCATTTTGTCAGTTTCATCACGCACATATATGTATTATGTTCATATAGGATTTTAACATCATGCTGCATGTCCTAAGGCACTGACGCTTTAACTGGGTGTTTTAGCGCTACATCATTTGTATTTCTTCTGCATTTTTTTGATCTTGGGGTATTGGATCAGATGTTAGCAGCTTCACACGTTTACCAATTGTATTTTACATAGGAGCGCAAGCAGATTTCTAATTATCCCCTTGCTGCAAATACCTACTATATACATGCGCAAATATAAATATCCTGTGAAAAAGCACCAGAAAATGGGCACCAGACTGATTAACAGCTAGTACAGTATATTGTAACGTTAGGAATAGGGCCGGATCCTTCTGGTCTAATGTGGGGGTGAGTTAAAAAATTTCAGGGGGGTAGATTATGGGAGGTCAGCAGGACAGTGTACAGAAACAGGAATCAGTAGGGCAGAGTACAGTTGGTTAGCAGGGCGGTATCAAATGTGTGGATGTGAAAATAAAATAATTTTTTTTGTTCAAAAAAAAAAAAGACTGATGTATGGCCTGTCATACTGAGTCTACCTTAAAGAGTAAGTTCACTTTTACAGAAAAAACTTTAAGGTGACATAACATTGGACCCCATCCCCCAGTCCTGTTATACTTACCTTGCACGATTCTGTGTTGTCAGGTTCCCCCATGCCAGTCCACCGATCCGGGGAGACATTTATGGACAGGAGAAAAGTGCCTGTTTTTACCATCTGTAAATTTACAGACGTAACATAGGGCTGGGGTGTACAAATGCTGCCACTGTGATGTTTTGTTTTGTAGCCATGACAGAAATGTAACTCTCTGTTGCTTACTGAGGCACAGTGCCTGATAAATGTGGTATATTCAAGTGAATGGGGGCCACTCTGCAAGTAACCCACAACTGCATGAGGTTTTGGTGTGCTAATGTGGGGTTCCAGGGGTTAAAGCAGGCAGTGAGGGGGTGATACAACACCTCCTCGCTGCCTGCCAAATGTACTCTGAAGATTGATCTGACCATTCTGATCTCTTTTCAGAGACCAAAGCTAGTGTAAAGGAGCTCTTAAAGGGATTCTGGGCAGGAAGGGGTTAAACAGAAATCATCATAAGCTTGCGAGGTAAAAACCCATCAGTTTATCCAACTAGTAGATTGTCAGCCATCTACCAATAGTACTTCAGGTGTCACTGGAGATGAAATCAACTTTGCAAGTTTGTGAAAGCTCCTAGAACAGGGAGGAGGGGGAGGGGGAGAGAAGGGAGAAAGATGGTGACAGTTCAGTCATAGAGAAGTGCTCAGTGTTGACTCATCCCAGGCTGGGATCTGAAGGCTCAGGTAGCATCATTATTCATGCAGTCAGGATGTAGCTTCCAGCTCCTGTAGTTCATATCTCCCGCCCACATCCCCTTTCTGAGGCACAGCACTGGCTCTGTACAGGAGTGTGGGTGGGGCAGACAAGAGGAGAGGGGCAAGAGCAGCTGGAGCAGTTCGAGTCCTCTCTCCTGTCTATACAGAGGGGAGGGGGGGAGGGGGGAAGAGCTCAGTGCCTGGGGTATGTGAAACTTGACAGATGCAGCCAACTGCTCCTACAGACTGCTTCCCTTGATGAACCTGAACACAGTATCCATAGGGGGGGTTCCTGGGGGGGTGGCGCATCTGAAATCTGGGGGGGGGGCACAGCCCACCCCAGCACCCCCTAGATCCCTCCTAGCCATGATTAGAAGTACAAAAACTATGCAAGAATGAATCAGACAGCGAAGGAAAGGGTTATGGGTCTACACTGAGTGGCAGTTAATAACATGGTGTTATAGTGACTCAGAATTAACCCTTAAACCACAAAAGTACATTAAAGTAGAACTATAGGCACTTTTTTCATTTTGGATAGAACAAGGGAGGATTATAATCCCTGTCAGATTTTTTTTCACCATCTGTGTCTCATTGGGGAGATTTCCCTTCACTTCCTGTCCCATAGCCAAACAGGAAGTGAAAGGAAATCCCAGAAAATTAAGGGAATCCCTTGGAGATGCCCAGGTCCTCAACAAAAGTTTTCCCCTCTAAAAACGTTCTGGGGACAACCCAACATTTGGAATTTCCTTTTACTTTTATGATAATGGTAAATAACAAAAAAAAAATGGAAAAATAGAGAGGGCAAATCTCCTTAACGGGGGCACATACAGCAATAAAAAACTGATAGGGGTTCCAATCCCTCGCTACTCTATCCAAAACTAAAAAAGAAAAGTTTTGCCTTTAGTTATACTTTAAGCAAAGATTCACATCAGCAATAAACAGCATCAGAATAATAAGCAATGGTGGGGCAGTCTTTTTACTGCCTGGAAGCAACCTGTGTACATCCCAAAGTACACACTAGGGGTTATTTACTAAACCTTGAGAGTGCAAAATCTGGTGCAGCTGTGCATAGTAACCAATCAGCTTCTAACTTAAACTTGTTCAATTAAGCTTTGAAAATAAAACCTGGAAACTGAATGGTTTCTATGCAACTCTGTTGGATGCAGTTAAACCCGGCCCAGTCCAGACAATACGGCATGGAATAGTCACACACACTCCTTCCAGTTCACACGTCTCTCCCCAACTGCCTGACTCCTTCCAGAATTTTTCTTTGATAAATGTCCCTCCTCTTGGCCTGTGCTTGTGGGCTTTGTAGTTGTGACTTCAGCTTTACTGTAAGACAGTCCTGCTTCCAGACTACATCTCCCAGAATTCTCTGAGTACTAAGGCAATGGTGAGGCAAAGTGCTGAATGCTGTCATCTTGTGGGCAAATAGAGTTCTGCATCCTCAGTAACAATACAGTGTTACATACTGTACAGTTGTGCTCAAAAGTCTACATACCCTGCCATAAATTGTGAAATTTTTGCATTGATATTGAAAATATGACTGATCATGCCAAAAAATGCTCTTTTATTGAAGGATAATGATCATATTAAGCCATTTATTATCAAATAGTTGTTTGGCTCCTTTTTAAATCATAATGATAACAGAAATCACCCAAATGGCCATGATCAAAAGTTTACATACTCTGGAATGTTTGGCCTTGGTACAGACACACAAGGTGACACACATACAGGGTAAAATACCAATTAAAGGTTAATGTTCCACATCTGTGGCTCTTTAAATTGCAATTAGTGTCAGTGTATAAATAGTCAATGAGTTTGTTAGCTCTTACGTGGAAGCACTGACTAGGCTAGATACTGAGCCATGGGGATCAGAAAAGAGCTGTCAAAAGTCCTGCGTAACAAGGTAATGGAACTTTATAAAGATGGAAAAGGACATAAAAAGATGTGCAAAGCCTTGAATATGCCAATCAGTACTGTTAAATCACCTATTAAGAAGTGGAAAGTTCGGGGATCTCTTGATACCAAGCCAAGGTCAGGTAGAACAAGAAAGATTCCAGCCATAACTGACAGAAGAATTGTCTGGGATTTCTGCCAGGGTATGTAAACTTTTGAGCACAACTGTATATAAACTGCAAAAGCAATGTACCAGCTCAATCATTTAGAGTAGAAAGGAGTTAGTCTTCAGTCCATTCTTACTTAATACTGAAAATTCATTATATCCCTCTCATAAACATTTCATCATCATTACACTGCTGCTGCTGCTGCTGCTGCACACTTTTTCAAACATGCTTGGAACAAACAGAGATCTATATGCAGACATAAAAATTTAAAAAAATTAAAAAATATATGAATAAAAATAAATGGGGAAGACTCAATGGACCACTTGATCTTTTTTCTGGATTTCTATGCTTCTCTCTCTCAGGTCACCAGAGAGCTTAAAGAGCGAGGAGGGGGAAAGAAAGACAGAACATCAAATGTTTCAGGGCTGTGCTGCAGTCAGAGGAAATTCTCTCCACCACCTGGGAAATGCAGAGGAAACTGTAATTGGTTGCTGTGCAGCCTAAGAGAGGACACAGTGTACTAGGAGGAGCAAAGACGTGTGGGGGATGAAGTCCCTAGAAAGACTGAGCCTGATGCTGCAGAACTATGCAGGTATACAGGTCCAGGGGTGGACTGACCATTTGAAAACTCAGGCACTGCCTGAGGGCCCGGGGTCAGTAGGGGGCCCCATGAGATGCCCCTGGTACCTTTTTCATAGGCTTTTTTGAGTTTGGGAAAGGACACAGGGGCCCCATGATCCCTATTGCCCGGGGGCCCCATGAGTTGTCAGTCCGCCCCTGTACAGGTCCCAGCATGATAGGGAGCTGGGAAGAGGAAAAAGGGGAGAGAGTTCCTGGGCTTGCGACTGTTGTGTGGAGGGTGGTGTGAGGTGCACATCAAAGTGAGCTGCTGTGTGAGAGAGGGCTGCCTACTAGTGAATTCACTGCTGTGTTTGAAATGTGAAGAAGCTCAGCTGTGTGATCCTGTCTTCTCCCTTCTTCCACTTTCCCCATTTCATCACCTGATAAAAACACAGCCGCGGGGACACTCAGTTTGGTGTATACTGCTAGAGAATTTATTTTTCTTGGGAGGGTGCATGTGATCAGCACAGGGCCAACAAGCACTGTCCAATCAAAGGGTCAGGGGTTATGCAATCTGATAGGGCAGTAAGAGGAGAATAAAAACTCCTCCTACAAGCTTTAGCCAGTGCTCAGCTGGACACTGATAGAAGTCACAAGACTGCTCTAACTGCTGATGAGAAAAAGTATTTAGCAGTTTATAATTACTAAAATAATTGCATTTCCATGTTCTGTGTACTGTTGAAGACCAGATATAGTGAATGCAGGCTTCTGGGTTTAGTAACACTTTAAGCTTGGTTTTATGAGACTCATTCAAGTTTGAGCGCTCCAATGCCCCAACAAACACCCACCACACTGATCAATGGGAGGGTTTGACAGACACTAATAGACCTCTAATTTTTGGAACCACCCTTGAATTTGACAAATTTAAAGCCTTGGAATTTGAAATACACTGGGAACATTAAACAAAGTGTATGTAAAACTAATATGCTTGAAAATAAAGTAAAGCCTATTCAGTGAATAAACTAACCTTGCTTTTTTAAAACTTGTGATGATCCAGAAGCAGCAGAAAGAGTGTTTCTGCAATGAAAACTCTGGAGGGAAAAGCTACTTGCACGTTCATTATGGCCCTCATCATTTAATTCCATAAAGTAGTTTTTAATGTCTGTTGGGCACCTCTGGCATGCAAGGATATGTTTTGTCATCTTTGTAGCATTTGGAAAAGAATATTTCTTCTTGCAATATTTGCAATTTGCAGCTTTGCTCTCAGCAGAAATTGCACTGTGGAAATGTTTTCAAACATTAGAAGTTGGTCTCACCATTTTATGGAAAAGAGGAAAAGAAAAAACAATTTACTGACTAGACTATACTGTAGGTAAACATTATGCTATGGTGGGGGAAGAACATTAATAGAAATCAATTAAAGGTCATAAAGATAAAATAATCATCTAATGTATCCCAACAATCACCCACTGTAGGAGGTACAAGATGGAGCCCACAAGCAAACTAAACTGGAGCTTTTCCCCTGTTCCCCTAGGGACCGAAATCCATATTTCTCTTTTTTGAGAACTACATTAAAATGTAAAGTGTTACTTGAATTGTATTTCAGGATTTGCTTGTCTTCAGCTGAAAAAACTTGCAATAATTTAAGACTTAAATAAAGTTTCAGAAATCTTTATGTAAAGTCTTCATGTTATATAGTTTGAATACCATGTCATAGATATACAATTTATCATTGTAAAAGAACACATCCCAAACTCCTTTTGTTTTTGAAATTTTTCTGCAACAAAAACAAAAAACAATGGCTTTGGAAAAAATGGAAAAACTTTTTTTTCACCAATGTTTCTGTTTTTTTTCAAGGCCTTCCCATCTCTACTCCAAATCAGACAATATTATGTGTAGTACATTCCAAAGTAAGTCTTACCAAACTCACACCTGTAGGTGTAGCGTGCATGGACAAGTGACATCATCTGTTACTGGAGAGCATACCAATGAAAACTCCTTGATGAAAAGTACCATTGTTTTAAGGAACACATCAACATTTGGTTCTGTACAGTAGAGTTGCTCCACCATGGACAGTCAGCAGTGTGTTTACCGCGAGGCAAACAAGGCTGAAAAGATTGGTCACAGTATTTTTTCCCTCACTGCTCCTTACATAATTGATGACATTATGGATTGTTGAGTCTGCAGAATAGACCAATGATCCAAAGTTGTCATCAAATGTAACAAATCAAAGTAAATGAATATACATGATGTACCCAAAAAGACAATTATTGTAACAATCCCTCTGCAACTGTTTTAGGTTGCCAGATCATACATGACATTAGCGTGTGAGAGATTTGGACATGATGGAACTGCTCTTCATCACACCATCTATGGAAAGTTTCTGTTCCTATAACATTGCCATTCTGTAGACTGTACACCTGATCCTCACTGATCACTTATATAAGGAACGTTTTGTTTCCATCCAATGCTTGATTGGCCAGTTCTGTCAATATGTATTTGCCTGTCTATATTATTGTCTTTGTATTGCTTCCTGGATATTCAACTTTGTCCTGTACTTTGGAGACTGCAGTCTTCTGCCCACCTTGACTCTTTGCCCATCTGACCACATTTCTGTCCTGTGATTTGGCACAGTGTATGGCTAATTGTTAATTGGCTGTCAGAACCAGATCCTTTGCAAATTGAACTCTGGAGAAGACCAGATGGTAATGGGTGTACTTTGGAGGGAGTGTATTACTTCTGTGGCATAAAGGGTTCATGAGCCATTAAAATCATCTCTCAACCAAGTCCTGTATCTGTACACTCAATTTAACCTGTTGTTCATAGCTGAAAGAAATGCTAAGAGAGCTGAATTACTAGCTAATTGAAAGTCCTTTCTATACCAGCTATGTTACTTCTCATGGCTTCCAAATTGTGCTGTGGAGCACTGCCAGGAGCACTTACCCCTTCTAAAAAAGAAGAGAAGTTCAGTGCACATATAAGAGATAACACATCAGTTCTTGCTCTCCAGGTAACATACTGGGCCGAGATGGTCTAAACACAATTTTTGGGGCACTATGTGAAATGACTTAAAGGGTAACTATGATGAGCTGAATAGAGCATGTATGTTCATATGACCTGTGCTTTTCTTTTTTAAAATGACTAGACTTATTAACCTTTTACAACAAAATATACACTCACCCGCCACTTTATTAGGTACACCTGTTTAATTGCTTGCTAACACAAATTGCTAATCAGCCAATCACATGGCAACAACCCAATGCATTTAGGCATGTAGACATGGTGAAGACGACTTGCTGAAGTTCAAATCAATCATCAGAATGTGGAAGAAAAGGGATTTAAGTGACTTTGAATGTGGTATGGTTGTTGGCTCCAGATGGTCTGCTCTGAGTATTCAAAAACTGCTGATCTACTGGGATTTTCACAAGCAACCATCTCTAGGGTTTACAGAGAATGGTCTGAAAAAGAAAACATATCCAGTGAGCGGCACAATTGTGTGGATGAAAATGCCTTGTTGATGTCAGAGGTCAGAGGAGAATGAGCATTCGACTTCAGCTGCGACATTCAGATGGTAGGGTCAGAATTTGGCATAAACAACATGAAAGCATGGATCCATCCTGCCTTGCAACAAAGTTTCAGGCTGGTGGTGGTGGTGGTGGTGTAATGGTGTGGGGGATATTTTCTTGGCACTAGCAAGGTGTACCCAATAAAGTAGCTGATGAATGTATGGTAACTGTGTTTAGATTCAGAGCTGTTGTAATACTTCTCCTTGTTGTCATTTTTTAATTGAGCTTTTGACCATATTACAGAACTATAAGACCTTACATACTGTGTTTACATGGGAAATTCCAGTGACATTTCTCTGACAACATAAAGATTTTGTTTAAGCTTCAACAGTTATCTAAGTAGAAAGCAGAGGGGATTTTGGCAGTCAAAGATCAGAGCAGAGGTGTTTTCTTTTTCCAGTGAGCAATACATCATTACTATATCTGTTTAAAATTATAATCTGTTTTTATAGAGGTACTCAAGGGGTTTGAATCATTCCCCCCTGGCCTCATCCACACTCAAAAGCACTCATCACTAGATGAATTATAGGACATTACTGTGTAAATACTTCATGAAGCATGTGCAATGTCTTTCAGCATTTATATTACTGCAAACCTTTCAAAATGGCACAATGACACCAATTACAGTTTGCACATACCCAACTCAAGTTATCTTAATATCACATATTATAGTAACGATTAAGCAAGCATATTTTCTTCATCTGCATGTATTTTGATCTATGCCTTTCGTTTGTGATAAGGCAAATGATTTTAGCAGGCAGTAAGTAGATGCTTCTTTATGATTAGAAGCAATTTTTAAAGTATGATTAAACGTCCCCCCACTGCTGAATATTTTTTACTTGCATCTTATGTTTTTTTCCCAGTCTCAATGGTCTCTTACCCCCCTTGCTCTAGAAACCAATGGCCCCAAATAAAAAAATTGTCAAGCTTCTTATTCTTATTCTCTGTCCACCGATGCTATCTCCATCTGATCTTGCACATGCACTGTACATCATTTGTGGAAATGTTTTTTCCACGAAGATCTTGCAGATTAGAAACAAATCTCCAATTAAGGCACTGGTGATGTAGCCTAACAAGCATCGCTGATGCCTTAACATACATTTAGCTTGAAATTTAACTTTCAGATGTTTTGATATCTGCTTGTAGAGTTTCATGCACCATGAATTCTTTAATATGGGGGGGGAGTCCACTTCAAATCATGTCCATCTTGTTCACCTTGGGTGCTTTCACTTTGTCTAAGTTCTTCTTCAATGACTTGATGTTAGCATCATATTATTTTGCTCTTCCTATGGAATCCAAGCTTTGATTGCTGATATGAATCAGCATGTCAGCTTTGAGTACAAAGGGAGCACACATTCTGGAGTGACAATGACGCTCCTGCTTAGGAAGTTTTTCCATTGATTGTTGTCACCCTTGGATCAGAAGCCAAAGAACTGGCAATTCAAAAAAGTATAACTGAAGAAAGAATGATACAGCTGAAACAAGCTGAGGTTACACTATTAGTTTATTAATTTGTATTTTTAGGTTTAGTTACACTTTATTTCTCTTCCAGGTTTAGGAGGGGTAGTGACTTGAAAATTACAAAATACTAATAAAAACAACATTAAAAACACAATTTTTTTCATTGGTAACAAACAATAAAATACAAATCTGT